ATGGCCTAATGTATACTGAATGGTCAGTAAATATACAGATTATTAATTCATGCCATACATTTTAATCACCTCCAGAAAAAATTCAAGAAGTTAAATATATAGCTGAAACATTGTAGTATTTCAAAATGAAACTAGTACTTGCAAAAAGGCAAAGTTTTAAATTTTTCCAAAGTACTTTAATTCTAAAAATTCAAAATTAGTGATTGCTAGAAAAGAAAATATTCATAGGAAGAAAATTTGTTTCAGGCCATATTGTTTCCAAATTCAGATGAGAACTTACTATTAAAAATCTTGCACAGATTGGAAATGACTAATCAACATTAGGAAAATGAAATTTGAAGATCTGCTCTCATACTGTTCATGGCTAAAAATGTTTTCATGTCCAATTTTAACAGTGTGAAAATTTCAGTGATTGGAATTGTTGGATTAGAGAAAAAAATCATCTATCTAGTCTGTATAGGATGATCTTGGGCAAATCGCTTGATTTCTGTCAGTCTTCCCCTTCAACGACCATCCTTAGCTAAGTCTTAAAGTCTGTCACATTTGAGAGCTATGAAAGTATAGTGCTAGGTATACTGTAGAAAGACAGAACAATGTATAACAATGATATTAAGCTAGGATTTTTTTTTCTATGGGGTGATTACTTCATAAGGTAAATAAATGTTTAATTGCAACATTGGACACCTGAAACAATTACATGTCAACTATAACTGAAAAATAAGTTTACCCTGGCCAGTTGCTCAGCGGTTGAGCGTCGACCCATGTAGCAGGAGGTCCCGGTTCAATTCCCGGTCAGGACACATGCCCAGGTTGTGGGCCAGATCCCCAGTGGAGGGCATGCAGGAGGCTGCCATTCGATGTTCTCTCTCATCGATGTTTCTATCTCTCTCTCCCTCTCCCTTCATCTCTCTCTAAAAATCAATAAAGAAAAAAAGTTCTGACGTCCATCTACCTTCATATATATATATAAAAAAAAACTTTTTCAAAGAACAATTGTTTTTATTTCAGTGCAGTTATATAATTTCAGTGGGAGAGTGTTGTGAGATGAAGTAGGAAGAGCACAGGAGCTAGGATTTAGTATTGGCTCTGCCCTAAATTAGCTATCAGCTGCCCTCTTAGGGCCTTGGTCTTCTCATAAGTAAAATGAGGGGGTGGAATAAATAGTCTGTTACATCTTTTTGAGCTCTGAAATTCTGCATCTGTACCTTGCTCATTTCAGGTCTACAGCTATAGCTCAACTCTTCAATGTGACTCATCCTGGTGAAAGGTAGAACCCAATAGTTTCTATGATAGTTAGAAGACCATGGGTGATAAAATGTCATTTAGTTGTATTTGGTTAAAAGAGCTAACCTAAAATAAGAAATGTTCATTTTTAAATTTCAAATGTAAAGGAGAACTGATCAGCAAATAAAAACATGGTGCTATAGAGTTTATGATACTATTAATTACAGATCATTATTAATGTTTTGTAAAAGTTCTGTTCATTAAGGAATTAATTTGTAATATTAGGAATACATTGATGTTAAATGACTGAAAAGTTGAACACATTGCAACTATTTTATGTGGTTCTACTGTAATAAGTCTTGTATCTTGAAGAATTATGTCTGAATTCATAAGCATAAATCTTCATCTTTATCATAATTACCTTAGAGGCTGATCTCTTTTTTTATATAACATCACTAAATATATACTAAGCACCTACTATTGTATGCTGAAGCTGCCATAATAAATTGGTGGCAAAGTTAGAGAATTATAGTTATGAATTTTCTTTTTGAAATGCTAGTTTATTTTTTCTTTAAACCAACTTCATTTTGAGTCTGAGCCCCATCTACCTATGCTGAAAGGACATCAGTCTCAGTTATCCCTCCCCAACACACACACACACACACACACCCATACCCATCCAGAGCTATGCAGAGGCCCTGTATTTTATCACTCCTCAGTTACCACATTGCCACTCTTAGTTTTCCCTGAGATTCCTTTTGTTCTATCCTATGCAAATCCTCTGGGACCCAAGAGGGTCATGGAAGTCTTTGGTAGTACTGGGAGCCCTGTGATTAAATGTCTGTCCTCCCTCAGTTCATTATCCAGCCAGCTGCTTAAACAGGTACATTTTATCTTGGTTTCTTAGATTAAGCCATTGAAGCTCAGAGAATTAAAATTATTTGGCCCGGGTTATACAGGTGATAATTGAAATTACTAGAGTAAATTCTTGGCTTTTTTTTGTTTGTTAATCCTCACCTGAGGATATTTTTCCATTGGTTTTTCAAAGAGAGTTGAAGGGAAGGAGGAAGGGAGAGAGAGAAAGAGAGAAACATCGATGCAAGAGAAACACATCGATTGGTTGCCTCCTACATGTCCCTAACCAGGTCGGATCGAACCTGCAACCCAGGTACATGCCCTTCACCGGAATCAAACCCAAGACCCTTGGGTTTGCGGGCCAATGCTCCAACCACTGAGTCAAACTGGCCAGGGTGGGTTTGGCTTTTTAGTTAAATTATATCAGGTAATTTCAAAGAAAAAGTTTCATATATATTTGGAGCATTTAAATATATATATATATATATATATATATATATATATATATATATATAATAGATGAGACACAGAGTGGATTATTTTGAAACATTCAGATGTATTTGTTTTAGTACATTTGTTACACAAAATATTCATCCAGTCTTCTTATTTTATTATCAAGTTGTACAAATTAAAAATAGTCTATGTCAAGTTAATGACCCACGAGAAGGGAAAAACTAATTGGCTCTCTTTTCAATTGTGGTGCTGGGTGAGTCACTATTATATTTGATGAGCAATGTATATTATAATTTTACAAATGAAAGTTGATGGCTCTAGTCACCTATTAACCCAAGGTATATGGTGGGGTTCACTTATAGTTTCATAAATCTCCATTTGTCTTCCACTTTTTGTTTTGTGTTACACTTGACTGGTAATAATAGATTATTTGTTTCCTATGGAAACATCCTTGATTGTCAGTGTATCTCCAAGGGCATAATCATGATATATTAAAAAGTAATCATGTAAATTATAATCATCATCTCACTCATATTTTCCAAAATACTTTTAATGATGAGGATCTTTCTTTTTAAATATTGATTAGGACTTTTATGGCTTGAGATAAAGTAATCATATGCAAATTATTTTATTTGATATACTCTTAGTATAAATCCAGAGTTAGAACAAGGCTTGGTATTGTACTGGGTCATAGCCAGAAAGTGGTCTACAGTTTTACCTGGGAAAAGTTATTTGTTGAAATTATGCTAAACCCCTAGCAATTTCACAAGTTGGGTAAAGTATGGTGGAAGATTTTTACCTACTCGTAGATGCGTAAAATAAGTATACAGAGTAGGAAGGGACATCATTAGATCTTGAGATTTAAGGGTATAATTCAAACAACCATACAGATATTGACTAAGTATTGTTTTAAAATTACTGCTTAAAATGGTGAAAAATGTGTGTAGCCATGCCTTTTGTGCCAACAGAGTGAAGTGCAAAGTTGTTATACTAATACATTTTTGTTAAAAGGCAGTGCTTATACATTTTTACCACATTAATATCTTTTATATTTTATATCCTCTCTCTTCTTAATTTTGATTAGAAAATTTCCTTCACATTATTCTTCAAATAGTAGCTAACTTTTCTGAGGATTTGATCAGAGGCTGGGAGGGACTCAGCATGGTAACTGGTAGTGAAAAATCAAAGTATAATTGTTCCTTGTTTCTGACCACTCTCCATGAAATAAGTTATAACATTCTGGGCAGGAAAATAGTCAAATTCATTACAGGAATTTCTCTTCTTGGACTTTTAAAAATTTATATGTTTAACTATTTTTAACAGTCTGGATTTTAGTGTCTGTTTGTTATAGTATTCAATATTATTATTGAAATAATTGTTTTTATTCTCACAGTATCAGTGAAGCTTATTGAAAAGGCACATTAAACTAAGAGCTTAACTTTGAGGGGATATGCTGAGAGTGTCTTTACTTTCAAATCATCCACAATCAATTAACTTGTTCATGCATATGTTTCTTATGGTCTGTGTCTGGTTTTGCCTGACATTGACCCATTTTCTTTATAGCGTGGCCAAATAAAATAGCCAAGGCGTAGATTCAGATCCAGTTAACTTCATTGTGTAACTGGAATGATCCTAGCATGTAAAGGTATGCACTCCATACATTGTGTCCTCTTGTCCTGGGAAAATTATTACTGGCATGTCCTTCACTCTCAAAAGTATCTTGGTTTAGAAGGGAAATTATATGTCACCCTACCAATTATGTAGATATTGGTGATGTCTTTTGTCTAGACCTTTTTCTTTCTAAGTCCTCGAGAAATCTAAAGGCACTAGAATTTTAAGTGACTTACCCAAAGATATGTAGCTGCTTAATGGCAAAGCTAGAATTTACCCCAGATATTTTGACTTAAGCTTTGGGCTTTTTTCCAAGTCTGATTTGTTAATTCATCAATTTTATAGGTTAGATTTTTAAAGATTTGTCCTGTGACCTTTTATAGTTAGGTGTATTCTCTCGCTCTTACTGTATCCTTGAATATCTTTATGTTACATATAAGGCATTTAGAGAAATTGAGATAAAGTGAGCCACACTAATTAGGGAATTTCCAAATGATGGGAAATTGTTGGAAATATTACCAACCAGGTGTTGGAAAGCATTACAAAGCTGGCAGCACACAACAGTGTGGCCAGTTTGACCTTATGGAGTGACCTGTACATTTCTCTTATTAGCTAGCTTGTACCAGAGATGATCATTTTACTGACCTTCTGACCATTTCTTTTGGACTGATCACTCATAATTGATCCAAATCTCTTGTATAACAAATTGAACTTTGGGCAAAAAAATTATAATTGTTTTGTATTTGCCATCGGCTCTGAAAATCGGTATGTGCTCCTAGAAATTAAGGTAGCTAGCAAGAATAAGTTTTGTTCAACCTAAATGATAATTTTTTTTTTTTTTTTTGTATGTTGGCTAGGTTTATCTAGATATGACATTTGGTTCAGGAGGACACGCAAGAGCCATTCTGCAGAAAGAGTCAGATATTACTCTGTATGCCTTAGACAGAGACCCGACAGCTTATGCAATAGCTGAACAACTTTCCAAATTATATCCGTAAGTATTACTCTTGTGTAATTATTTAATTTGAATGCTGAGTTTTACAGAGCTTGGTTTGCCATGTGGGAATTTGTTCTCCCTTGTATGATGTTATACTTCATTCCACTAAGTATTCCCTGCCCTTTCCCCCCCCCAAAGAATTAATGCAAATGCTGTATTTTAGTACCACTTAAAAATAATGATATTCTGCATTTATTATTTCTTTTTTTAAATTAATTAATTTATTTTTGTTACAGATGTTTCTCCCCCCCCCCCACTCATTCCCCCTGTCCTCCCCTCCCCACCCTCTCCCCAGCTTTGTTGTCCATGTCCATTGTTCATGCATACATGCATATAAGTTCTGTGGTTTCTCTCTCCCCCACCACCCCCTCTTCTTGGGATTGTTAGTCTGTACCCCACTTTCATGTCTCTGGGACTGCCCCATTCCTCAGACTGTTATGTTCATTATATTCCAAAAATAAGTGAGATCATATGATACTTGTCTTTCTCTGTTTGGCTTGTTTCACTTAGGATAATACTTTCCAGGTCCCTCCACATCATCTCAAAGGATAAGAGATCTTTCTTTCTTATAGCTGCATAGTACTCCATTGTGTATATGTACCACTGCTTTTTTATCCATTTGTCTACTTATGGACATTTGGGTTGTTTCCAGATCTTAGCTATTGTAAATAGTGCTGCTACAAAAATGGGGGTACATATATCCTTTCTGATTGGTGTTTCAGGCTTCTTAGGGTATATTCCTAGAAGTGGGATCACTGGGTCAAATGGAAGTTCAATTTTTAATTTTTTGAGGTAACACCATATTGTTTTCCATAGTGTCTGCATTCCCACCAGCAGTGTACTAGAGTCCCCTTTTCTCCACACCCTCACCAACAGTTGTTGTTTGATGATCTGTTGATGGCGGCCATTCTGACAGGTGTGAGGTGATACCTCATTGTTGTTTTAATTTGCATCTCTCTGATGTTTAGTGATGTTGAGCATTTAGTCATATGTCTTTTGGCCATTTGTATGTCCTGTTGGGAGAGGTGTCTATTCAGCTTCTCTGCCCATTTTTTAATTGGGTTCTTTGTCTTCCTTTTGTTGAGTTGTATGAGTACTCTATATATTTTGGAAATTAACCCCTTATCTGATGTATCATTGGTAATGATGTTCTCCCATACAGTGGGTTGCCTTTCCATTTTGATTATTGTATCTTTTACTGTGCAGAAGCTTTTGAGTTTGATGTAGTCCCATGTGTTCATTTTCTCCTTTGTTTCTGCTGCCTTAGGTGATGTATCAGTGAAAATTCTGCTGCGTATGATGTCTGAAATTTTGTTGCCTACAATTTATTCTAAGATTTTTATGGATTCATAAGTCAAATTTAAGTCCTTTATCCATTTTGAGTTTATTTTTGTGTATGGTTTAAGTTGATGGTCTAGTGTCAGTTTTTTTGCATGTAGATGTCCAATTTTCCCAACACCATTTATTAAAGAGACTGTCTTTACTCCACTGTATGCTCTTGCAACCTTTGTCAAACATTAATTGAGCATATTGCCTTGGGTCCATTTCTGGGTTCTCAGTTCTGTTCCACTGGTCTATATGCCTGTTCTCGTGCCAGTACCAGGCTGTTTTGATTACAGTGGCTTTGTAGTATAACCTGAAATCTGGTAATGTGATCCCTCCAACTTTGTTCTTCTTTTTCAAGATTGCTGCGGCTATTTGAGATCTTATTTTGTTTCATATGAACTTTTGAAGTATTTTTTCTAGTTCTGTGAAATATGTTGTTGGTATTTTGATGGGGATTGCATAGAATTTACAGATTGCTTTGGGTAATATGGACATTTTAATTAATGGACATTTTAATTTTTCCAATCCATGAACAGGGTATGTGCTTCCACTTTTTTATATCTCCTCTATTTCTTTTTTCAATGACCTGTAGTTTTCTGCGAATAGATCCTTTATTTCTTTGGTTAAGTTTATTCCTAGTTATCTTAATTTTTTTTGCTGCAATGGTAAATGGGATTTTTTTTTTTTAGTTTCTTTCTGTGAGTTCATCATTGGTGTATAAGAATTGCTTCCTTGACATTAATTTTGTATCCTGCTACTTTGCCAAATTAATTTATTAAGTCTAATAAATTTTTGATGGAGTCTTTGGGGTTTTCTATGTATAGTATTAGGTCATCTGCGAATAATGACAATTTTATTTCTTCCTTTCCAACTTGGATCCCTTTTATTTATTTTTCCTGTTTGATTGCTGTGGCTATGACTTCCAGTACTATGTTAAATAAGAGTGGCGAAAGTGGGCATCCTTGTCTTGTTCCTGTTATTAAGGAAAATGTTTTTAGTTTTTGCCCATTGAGTATGATGGTGGCTGTAGGTCTTTCATATACGGCCTTTATTAAATCAAGATATGATCCATCTATTCCCACATTGCTGAGCGTTTTTATCAGAAATGGGTGCTGGATTTTGTTGAATGCTTTTTCAGTGTCTATTGATATGATCATATGATTTTTATCTTTCATTTTGTTTATGTGGTATATCACATTTATTGATTTGCGAATAGTGTACCAGCCTTGCATCCCTGGGATGAATTCCACTTGGTCATGGTGAATAATTTTTTTGATGTATTGCTGGATTCGATTTGCTAGTATTTTGTTCAGGATTTTGGCATCTGTGTTCATCAGGGATATTGGTCTGTAGTTTTCTTTCTTTGTAGTCTTTTTCTCGTTTTGGAATTAGAATTATGCTGGCCTCATAAAATGAGTTTGGATGTCTTCCTTCTTCTTGAATTTTTTGAAATGGTTTGAGGAGAATGGGTATTAGTTCTTGTTTGAATGTTCGGTAAAATTCTCCCATGAAGCGCCTGGGCTTTTGTTTGCTGGGAGAGTCTTAATAACATCTTCAAATTCTTTTGTTGTTTTTGGTCTGTTCAAGATTTCTATCTCTTCCCGGTTCAGTTTTGGGAGACTATGTGTTTCTAGAAATTTGTCCATTTCTAGACTTAGACTGTTGAATTTGTTGCCGTATAATTGTTCATAATATCTGTTAACAATCCTTTGTTTTTCTATGGTGTCAGTTATTATTTCTCCTCTTTCATTTCTGTTTTTGTGTATTTGGGTTTTCTCTCTTTGTTTCTTGGTGAGTTTAGCTAAGGGTTTATCAATCTTGTTTATCTTTTCAAAGAACCTACTCTTTGTTTCATTGATCTTTTGAATTGTTTTTTTTTTTTTGTCTCTATGTCACTTATTTCTGCTCTGATCTTTACTATTTCCTTCCTTCTACTTGCTCAGGGTTTTCTTTCTAGTTCTTTAAGTTGTGAGGTTAGTCTATTAGAGATTTTTCTTGTTTCTTGAGGTAGGCCTGTAGTGCTATGAACTTCCCTCTCAGAACTGCTTTTGTTGCATCCCATAGATTTTGTGTTGTTGTGTGTTCATTTTAATTGGTTTCCAGGAATTTTTAAATTTCTTCTTTGATCTCCATGGTAACCCATTTATTGTTTAATAACATGCTATTAGCCTCCATGTTTTCAAATGTCTTTGCATGGTCTCGTTGCAATTGATTTTTAGTTTCATGCCATTGTGATCTAAGAAGATGCTTGATATGATTTCAATCTTCTTGAACTTGTAGAGTCTTAGTTTGTGTACTAACATGTTGTCTATCTTTGAGAATGTCTCATGTGCACTTGAGAAGAATGTGAATTCTCCAGTTTTGGGGTGTAATTCTCTGTTGATATTTATTAAATTCATTTGATCTAGCACTTCATTTACAGCCTCTGTTTCCTTGTTAATATTTTGTCTAGAAGATCTATCCAGTGATGTCAGGGGGGTATTGAAGTCCCCTGGTAAGATTGTATTGCTGTCGATTTCTCTTTTGAAGTCCTCCAAAAGATTTTTAATATATGTTGTTGCTCCTAAATTGAGTGCATATATGTTTACCAAGGTTATATCTTCCTGTTGGATAGATGCTTTCAATATTATGTAGTGGCCTTCTTTGTCTCTAGTTATGGCCTTCATTTTGAAATCTACTTTATCAGATATGAGTATTGATACCCCAGCGCTTTTTGCTTTCTGTTTGCTTGAAAGATTTTTTCCCATTTCTTCACTATCAACCTATGTGAGTCTTTTATTGTGAGGTGGGTTTCTTGTAAACAACATATAGATGAGCCATGCTTTCTTATTCATTCAGCTACTCTGTGTCTTTTTATCGGAACATGCAATCCATTCACACTTAAGGTGATAATTGATATGTACTTATTTATTGCCATTTTTGTCTAGTGTTTTCTATTTTTCCTCCTGTTTCTTCTACTAATTATAGCAATCATTTTAGCATATCTTGCAGTGCTGGTTTGGTGTTAATATATTCCCTTAGCCTTTTTTTGTCTGGAATGTTCTTTATTTGACCTTTTATTATGAAGGATAGCCTTGCTAGATAGAGTAGTCTTGGATTCAGATCCTTGTCTTTCATGACCTTGATTACTTCATATTACTCCCTTCTGGCCTGTAGTATTTCTGTTGAGAAGTCAGCTGAGAGACTTATGGGGGTTCCTTTGTAGGTAACCTGTTGCTTATATCTTGCTGTCTTTAGGATTCTTTCTTTGTCTTTAATTTTTGGCATTTTAATTACTATGTATCTTGGTGTTTGCCTGTTTGGGTTCTTTTTACTTGGGGCTCTCTGTGCTTCTTGAACTTGAATGCCTTCTTCCTTCACCAAGTTAGGAAAATTTACTGTCTCTATTTCTTCAAATATATTCTCTAACCCTTGCCCATTTTCTTCCTCTTCGGGGACTCCTGTGATGCTTATGTTATTATGTTTCCAGTTGTCCCACAGTTCTCTTAAGCTGTCTTCCTGTTTTTTAATTGTTTTTTCCTTTTGGTTTTCTCTTTGGTTGATTTTTTCTACCGTGTCTTCTAATTCACTGATCCGGTCCTCAGCTTCCTCTACTCTGCTGGTTAGTCCTTCCAATGTGTTCTTAATTTCTGCCATGTCATTTTTCATTTTCACTTGGTTGGTTTTCAATG